CCTCTTTTTTTTTTTTTTTTTTTTTTGTGTGTCTTTTTTGTCTTTTTCCGTGTCCGGCAACGGATCGCAACCCTCAGTGTTGCTCCCGTACCGGACCGGGGACCGGCAACAGGATTGCAACCCTCGGCGTTGCTCCCGCGCCTCGCTCAGCCAGTGAGCGGGAACCGGTCTGCATGTGGGATCCGAACCCTCGGGCGGGAGCACCACCGCGCTTCCCAAGCGGCGCACTATCCAGTGCGCCACCGGGCTGGCCCCAGCCACCTCTCTTGATTCTGGTATGGCCACAAAGCTACAGCCTGGCAGGTCTTGAGTGGTCCTGGTTGCTGTGGGAACCCCTACCTGATGGTGGTATGTGGGGTACATGGTGGACCACACTGTCTACAACCATCACAGTCTCCAAGGGCAACAGCACCAGGCTGGGGCCAGGGAAGCTAGTTGCAGGCCAGACAGGCAGCCTCTGGACGGGCAGTCAGACCGATGAAGTGCTAGCCGGGCCAGAGCCATGGCAGCTCAGCCAGCAATTGCAGAGGTGGGGGTGGGGGAGCAGTCATGCAGCCTCAGCCTAAGTGGCTTTTAGGGGCCGCTGTTGGGGTGTGGGCACCCAGGGGGCCACAGCCCAGGAGACTGCCTAGAGGCAGGCCCTGCACTTGGGCGATGGCTGGGAAGCCCAGGCCAAGGGCACTGGAGAGAGGAGAAGCAGAGGCAGGACTGAGCCCATCCCGCTTCCCTGCCCTCATGGAGAATTGTCTGGGCTGGCTGTGCCTGACCCCTGGGAACCAGGTATGTGTGCTGGGGAGGGGCAGACTGAGGGCGAGCCTGGGACTCAGCTGTCTTCCTGTATCTGAGACCGAGAAAGAGCTCTATGGGGAAGAGTGTGGACTCGGACAATGTGCCCAAGCAGAGCTGGGGAATCTTGTGAGGGTCTCTTCCCTCTCCAGACTTCAGTTTCCCCATCTATAAAAGGGTCTGGGCCCTCTGAGGTTGTTCCAGGTAAGACACACTCAGAGACGCATGGCGGAGCATAAATGATTCCCTATGGTGATTATTATTGTTCAGTTGGGGGTGGGGGACCCTCATGCTTGGGGTGGTAGAGGCTGGGGGACTTGGGAGGCTGGGGGCAGGGGCAGGAGGACCTGTAGGGGCCTGCTTAATGTGGAGCAGTTCCTGTGAGTGCTGAGTGCAACCCAGAGCTCAGAGGCCAAAGACCTCAGAGCAGTTCACCCCGGGTCAGGAGGGTAGCAAAGACCGTCAAGTCTCAACCAGACACTCACATTCTTCCCCCACCCTTGTCTCTGCCTGTGACTGCAAAGTCACACAGACTGCAGCCTGGGGTAGGCTGGGACACAAGTGAGGGGCCCCAGCAAAGGGAGGGAATGCGGGGGCAGAATGTTTAATGAACACACACACAACACAGATAGCACAAACACTCTCAGCGAGTGGTGGGTCACTTTTTTTTTTTTTTTTTTTTTTTTTTTTTTTTTTTTTTC